ACCAATTATTTTTACCTTCATCACTGTACAATAATTATATTTATCCAATATACAATAATTTTTTCAACTTATCGTTTTTAATTCTTATATCTTTGTATTCGACGATTTTATTATTCCATAACTCGGAAGAATTGTGGTAATCGTCAATAAAATGAATAGTTTTTTCGTTCATTCCCTGTTGCCGGCAACAAGCCACACCGATCCGAGGGCTGTTGGATAGACGACGACACTGTTCGTAATGTTGAACCATAACGCATTCGACAGGCAACAACGGTCAACTCGTAGCATGCGGCAAGGAGGCCTGTTTTTTGTCGCTTTGTGTTCCTTCTATGGAAAGACTGTGTGTAGCATGCATCAATTAGTTTTGCCAAAAATCGTTCTTGGTCTTGCACTTTGCAAGCTTAGTCTTGAACTAGTAAAAAAAATTCGATTTTTTGAATAAAAATTAAGGCAAAATAGTTACTAATACTTGACAATCTTAGTTACTATATGTTAATAATTGGTATAACTAATATACTTTTGCATTTAACTCCTTTAATTTTTCATTCGGGCTTAGTTAAGTTTCTCCAATCTAAAAAAAGACAGTTATATCTCTATAGTAATAAATTAATTAGTAACATGTCGCCTAAAATTTGCCTCAGTGCAATTCCACCTTAATAATTCTCGATTTGTCATCATCTTATAGCTTATTGTTTATAAGATCATGAACAAATTGGAAAAATATATCAGCTCTATCACTTTTACTGTTAGAAACGTAATCAAGAGCGCTTCCATTACAGATTACAGTTCTTTGTAAGTCTTATTCTATGAATATGAACGTGTCAAAACCCAAAGAGTTAATTAATGTATACATTGAGTTTAGTTCTGCTGTGTCGACGTCATTTACAATCCGCCAATGTAGTCAGGGAATTTCGGGAGGGAAGCATAGGAAGATTTGACAAGTGGATATGAAATTCTCACCATTTAGTTTTAAGAGTAAGTTTGTCTAACATTTTCTCAGGTCGAAGGGGCCAGTGTGACCGAGCGTGCTAACGCCTGTGCAAAACACGTTGCCCTGAAACCTGATATATCGAAGATAAGATCATACAAATTGACGTTTTTGAAAAATTGACTAAAATTGCAGCACTAGAAGATCAATCTATAGACTTCCCAGAAGGGAGAAGTTATATATTTATATTTTCTGGAATAAAATTGCACAAAATATCTTGGCTGGTGGACAAAAAAATTCCAAGAAATAAGAAAACCAAATTTCATGAGCATAACCTGAAATGTCAGCATGCAAATGTTTTACTGAAATATAGGATTCTTAAAAACCAAAAGAGTTAAAAATTTATGATTATTATAAGATTTAATATATGATTCTTAGTATGATGTATTGAAGAATGTTATTAACTAGGAACTGGTCGTGAAAAATCGAGACCATTTCACAACTTCTTATTTCACTAAACCAAATATATTTAGTTTCTGTTACAAATATGAAACTAATTTGAAGATAATGTTATGGCGTGATGTTTTTTAATTTAATGCATTTTAACTCAGTCGGGTTGGTAACAACATTTTTCGAACGTGTCAAGATTGGTGTCATTTTATCGTGTAATGCAGAAATTCCACTCAACATATTGTATTTTTTTAAACGAGAAAGAGGTAAATAACCAAAACTGTTTGGCGAGGTTTCATGAACCGAATCATCGACATTTATAACAACTTCTAGAGTTGCTTACGTAATACTTCCTTATAGACTAGGAACTACCGACCATTTCATAACGAAAGAACTTAAAGCTAGTAACTATTTCAAATCCTAGATAAATTTCATCTGAGCAGACAACTTCGGTCAGTCAATTGACAGCCGTTGCTTTCTATGCGAAATTTTAAATTAAAGAGGCGAAATTTGACGGTTCATTTAACAGAACATACGGCTGAACTTTTGATATGATGTAAATAACATGTCCCTAAAAGAGAATTAACCTTAACTGACGATGTACTTTGTTACATTTTGAAAACTGTCGCAGAGTCGGATAAAAGTTGTGTGATGCGTGCACCAGATTTTTTGTGTTAATTTAATTTTTATGTTAACAATTAATTTGTAAGACAATTTAATTAACTTTTAGGTAATTCCTAGTGTATTTATTTATAACATATTTATCGATAGATGTTAATACTTGTTTGATAAACAATATATAAATATTAAATTTTTACTATTAAAGCTATTACAAATCTAAATTTTCAATGTCAACTCTCTTCTAAGATTAAAAATATCAAACCTCGAAAAATCGAAACTTCGATGTAGTTTTAGTACTCCGTCACGAAGTCAAGGTACCAATTTGCATTGTTATTATGTCTTTAATTATATTTTATTTTTAGTTAAAAACTGGAGTGATTATCATTTGTTTCTCTACCGATTAGACATAACTGATACTTTTGTTTGTGAAAGCTTATCTCAGACACTGCTTATTGAACTACAGAAAAGATAACCAGTATGGAAAGATAAGATGACCAGTATGCAAGATATGTTTGTACACTTTTTTTACATTAATCATAAGACACTTACATTACCTTATCTATCAAAATGAATCTGAATTTCCCATTCTGGATATAGATATATTCTAGACATTTTTCCTTTTCCTCTCATTTTAGGATTTAAATGGTTTTCCCGGACTAGGGGGTGAGGTCGGGGGATTAACGCCAGAATTGAAAGCTCCCCCGGCGCCGGGATGTGAATTCATAATTAGTTTTTAATCAACAACTTCGATCATCAGGTTACCGGGCTACCCTGAATTCCAAGAATTTTCGTAAATAAAATATTTACGAAGTTTCAAGCCGGATGTTAATCATTTAATAAAAAGGGGTCTGTACCACGGACTATATTGTTGTATTTGGAGATGGGCCCGAATCTCTAAAAGTAGCTACAGATATTTATATAGCTTTAACAAAAAATTATCCCCTTACCAATATTGTTGCTCTGTTACAATATACTTCGGGAACGCAAACTAACAATCTTTCTACTTCACCTCCGAAGAGTACCATAGGTTTCCACACATGGATAATACTACACTTCTAAGAATTTTATTTAGCATAAGAGCCTTGCCATTTCCATGAAATACAAGATATCTTAATCATTCTCCACTGTGGACGGGGTGGCCGAATGGGCTAACGCGTGTGCACTGCACTGCCGTTCCCCGGCAACCTGATACATAAGACTTTGATAAAAAAAATAGTCTCGAGTTCGCGTCCCGGTGCCGGAGGAGTTTTTAAATCCCCGCCCACACTCTCTGGCCCGGGAAAACCCCCGTGTAGCCTTAAAGGCGAGGAAACGGAGGAAAAAAAAAATCATTCTCCATTTTTTTCCCGTTATCCTCTACTTTTTTCTCTTATAAGGGCCATTATTTTGCCAGTTGATATAATCTCCTCATACTTACTACATACTTTTATTAGCTCTTGAGGAATAGGCATAGAATCGGCATATTGTGGGATAAGAAGTGATTGACATCATGGCATTGATGTTAATTAGGTCAATGCAGGTATCATAGGACACCTAATGACTAAATCTCTCCGCAGTAACAATACTTATGACTAACCACCAAGAGATCAACAGGCGGAAAACGTCTTACAGAATATGTAAGTAACAAAATATACAACTTTAAAGTAACAAGTTTTGTATTCTTTGGATTATTTTATTTCTCGGCCAAGATATGTATTTATATAAATAAATACATAGAAGATATACATATATATATATATATATATATATATATATATATATATATATATATATATATATACTTATATATACTTATATATATACTCATAGAGTGAGAGAGGTATACATGTGTGAGTGTGTGTTAAAAAAAAAGTTACTAAACGAAGTATGGAATGAGTTATTCAAGTCTTATCGGACGAATGGCGCCCCGTTTCCTGGTAGTTATCACCTACGGGCGCCCAAAAGTAGTTGAATGTTAAAGTAAAGTTAATGCTAACATTGTTTCGCCCATGTTACTTCTTAATACTTACTGCACTGGAGGGGCGGTAGACATACTGGAGAAAGACTTAGAGGAGTCCTGGACAACCGGTACTTCTTTAGAGTTCAGAGGTGAGTGTACAGTGTAAATTTATAATTAAATATTTTAACATTTATAGAGTTAAAACTATCGCAATTAACAATATTTTAATTTTTAAATCCTAAAAATAGTATAAATATCTCATGGCAATCTTTGTTTTACAACTTCCCAAGTTTTCTGTGATTTTTATTAAAGATGTTGGAATTCATGAAATCCTCTTTCGTTTTATTCATCATTTATCAAAATCCATCGCTCCTGAGCGCCGAAAAATGGATTTATGGAAACCAACGTTTATAAAAATGTAGTGTAGTGTACCGCAATGTAGAGTATTTTATATTTGCACGTTACGGCATTACGGCACTTTTTTTCCTGGAGAAAATATAAGTAAGAGCCGTGTTTCCAAGAGTATGTTGAATATTATTTTAAGTCCATATTAATTACACTTTTTTTTTTTCTTTTATAAATAGAAAGGAATAGAAAAATACGACATTGTCACCCGGGTATCTCTATTGTGTCAGACATCTCTGAAAGATTTTGCTATCATATCATAGCTAAGATAGTATTGACTAGTATTTATACTTATCTAGCGACTGTATTATATTATATTATTGTTCAGTATTTATACATTCACTAAAATCTTATATACAAAATAGTAATTCAAAGAAAATTATTCAAAGAAAAACAACCCCTAACCACCCCTAATTTTAGTTAAAACTTTCATAGCCTCTAATAATTATAAATGGAATCGATACAATTCCTTTTCGTGGTTTAAATTACACGTATAATCGGTTTTTTTTTTTTTTTAAGATATTGGTAAATACGGAGTAATAACGAAATCTGATCATATCATAGAATTAAAATTTTTCAAAAAATTTAATGAGTTAATATGAAAAAAAAAATTAAAAAATTAAAAAGCTACAGTCATATGGTCTATTAAAAGATTACCTTCATTGTTTTCGTTTTGATACACCTCATCGAAGGTTCCATATGACGGTTGCTTGTCAAATATATCGATGTGGTTCGACATGTGTTCAGCTTCTTGTTCTTCTTCACTTTGGTAAATTAAACAGTTGTTCGATCCTGTAATCTCCAAAGACTATGCAACAGCTCTTGTTCATCCACCACTAATTCAAGCTCTAGTTCGACAATTGTAGTAAAGAATAAGAATGGAAGAAACGAATGAAACATAGTTATAACAGCTGTTCATGAGTAGAACTTTTACTATCCCCCCTACTATTGTGTTTCCCGGCAAATATCATCATCTTGTCTTTTTTTCTAGTTAAGATAATATTGACTAGTATTTATACTTATCTAGCGATTATATTATATTATATTATCGATCAGTATCTATACTTTTACTAAAATCTTATATACAAAATAGTAATTCAAAGAAAATTATTTGAAATGCAGAATACACGTTATGGGTAATGAAACGCACATCAACAATATTTTTAATTATGTCCATTTATATGTTAATATTTTTTTTATTTAGAATTATACTAACGTAGTAATATTTTTCGTTATTTTTTTTTTAATATAAAAATTATCTGAAGATAATAAAATGTTGGAAGAAATCCCTAGCAATATAGATTCGCAATCCACAAAAAAAAAAATCTAACAAATCAGACAAAAGCGATTTACAATACATTCCTTGTTCTAGAATTCCTTAGGTTAATGCAGGTGTGAGCAAATAAGTATTATACTCCTTTTCTCCTAATTGAAACACTCGTCATATTTAATTTATGGCTTATGTCCTCCTATTCAAAACTAATTTCTATCGATGTCACGTCAATCTTAATATTTGAATTGTTTTTAATTTTTATATTTATTCTTCGGCGAAATAATTTAATGAAAACTAAACAGATCCTATGAATTACTGAGTGGGTGGATGCTTTCATGTTAATATGAGGTTTGCTTCAACTAACGTTGGAAGGATGAGTTATTCTGTAGATTGTTAACTTAGCCCTAATTTTAGTAAAAACTTTCATTGCCTCTAATAATTATAAATGGATTCGATACAATTCCTTTTCGTGGTTTAAATTACACGTATATTCAGTTTTTTTTAAGATATTGGTAAATACGGTGTAATAACGAAATCTGATCGTATCATAGAATTAAAACTTTTTGAGAAAATTTAATGTGTTAATATGAAAAAAAAATTAAAAAAAAAAAAGCTACAGTCATATGGTCTATTAAAAGATTACCTTCATGGTCTGCGTAATCATACACCTCATCGAAGGTTCCATACGACGGTTGCATGTCAGTTATATCGATGTGGTTCGACTTCTTGCTCTTCTTCACTTTGGTAAATTAAACAGTTGTTCGATCCTGTAATCTCCAAAGACTATGCAACAGCTCTTGTTCTTCCACCACTAATTCCAGCTCTAGTTCAAGAATTGTAGCAAAGAATAAGAAGCTACCGACACCAATGAAACATGGTTTTAACAGCTGTTCATGAGTAGAACTTTTACTACCCCCCCCCCTCTCCTATTGTGTTTCCCGGCAAATATCATCATCTTATCATCTTATCTTTTTTTTCTTTCATAAATAGAAAGGAATAGAAAAATACGACATTGGCAACCGGGTATCTCTATTGTGTCAGACATCTCTGAAAGATTTTGCTATCATATCATAGCTAAGATAGTATTGACTAGTATTTATACTTATCTAGCGAATATATTATATTATATTATTGATCAGTATTTATCCTTTTACTAAAATCTTATATACAAAATATTAATTCAAAGAAAATTATATCAAATGCAGAATAGACGTTATGGGTAATGAAACGCACATCAACAATATTTTTAATTATGTCCATTTATATGTTAATTTTTTTTTTTTATTTAAAATTATACTAACGTAGTAATATTTTTCGTTATTTTTTTTTAATATAAAAATTATCTGAAGATAATAAAATGTTGGAAGAAATCCCTAACAATACAGATTCGCCAACCACAAAAAAAAAAAAAAAAATCTAACAAATCAGACAAAAGAGATTTTCAATACATTCCTTGTTCTAGAATTTCTCAGGTTAATGCAGGTGTGAGCAAATAAGTATTTTATTCCTTTTCTCCTAAGTGAAACACTCGTCATATTTAATTTATGGCTTATGTCTTCCTATTTCAAAACTAATTTCCATCGATGTCACGTCAATCTTAATATTTGAATTGTTTTTAATTCTTATATTTATTCTTCGGCGACATAATTTAATGAAAACTAAACAGATCTTATGAATTACTAAGTGGGTGGATGCTTTCATGTTAATATGAGGTTTGCTTCAACTAACGTTGGAACAATGAGTTATTCTATAGATTGTTAACTTAGCCCTAATTTTAGTAAAAACTTTCATTGCCTCTAATAATTATAAATGGATTCGATACAATTCCTTTTCGTGGTTTAAATTACACGTATATTCAGTTTTTTTTTAAGATATTGGTAAATACGGTGTAATAACGAAATCTGATCGTATCATAGAATTAAAACTTTTTGAGAAAATTTAATGTGTTAATATGAAAAAAAAATTAAAAAAAAAAAAGCTACAGTCATATGGTCTATTAAAAGATTACCTTCATGGTCTGCGTAATCATACACCTCATCGAAGGTTCCATACGACGGTTGCATGTCAGTTATATCGATGTGGTTCGACTTCTTGCTCTTCTTCACTTTGGTAAATTAAACAGTTGTTCGATCCTGTAATCTCCAAAGACTATGCAACAGCTCTTGTTCTTCCACCACTAATTCCAGCTCTAGTTCAAGAATTGTAGCAAAGAATAAGAAGCTACCGACACCAATGAAACATGGTTTTTAACAGCTGTTCATGAGTAGAACTTTTACTACCCCCCCCCCTCTCCTATTGTGTTTCCCGGCAAATATCATCATCTTATCATCTTATCTTTTTTTTCTTTCATAAATAGAAAGGAATAGAAAAATACGACATTGGCAACCGGGTATCTCTATTGTGTCAGACATCTCTGAAAGATTTTGCTATCATATCATAGCTAAGATAGTATTGACTAGTATTTATACTTATCTAGCGAATATATTATATTATATTATTGATCAGTATTTATCCTTTTACTAAAATCTTATATACAAAATATTAATTCAAAGAAAATTATATCAAATGCAGAATAGACGTTATGGGTAATGAAACGCACATCAACAATATTTTTAATTATGTCCATTTATATGTTAATTTTTTTTTTTATTTAAAATTATACTAACGTAGTAATATTTTTCATTATTTTTTTTTAATATAAAAATTATCTGAAGATAATAAAATGTTGGAAGAAATCCATAACAATACAGATTCGCCAACCACAAAAAAAAAAAAAAAATCTAACAAATCAGACAAAAGAGATTTTCAATACATTCCTTGTTCTAGAATTTCTCAGGTTAATGCAGGTGTGAGCAAATAAGTATTTTATTCCTTTTCTCCTAAGTGAAATACTCGTCATATTTAATTTATGGCTTATGTCTTCCTATTTCAAAACTAATTTCCATCGATGTCACGTCAATCTTAATATTTGAATTGTTTTTAATTCTTATATTTATTCTTCGGCGACATAATTTAATGAAAACTAAACAGATCTTATGAATTACTAAGTGGGTGGATGCTTTCATGTTAATATGAGGTTTGCTTCAACTAACGTTGGAACAATGAGTTATTCTATAGATTGTTAACTTAGCCCTAATTTTAGTAAAAACTTTCATTGCCTCTAATAATTATAAATGGATTCGATACAATTCCTTTTCGTGGTTTAAATTACACGTATATTCAGTTTTTTTTAAGATATTGGTAAATACGGTGTAATAACGAAATCTGATCGTATCATAGAATTAAAACTTTTTGAGAAAATTTAATGTGTTAATATGAAAAAAAAATTAAAAAAAAAAAAGCTACAGTCATATGGTCTATTGAAAGATTACCTTCATGGTCTGCGTTATCATACACCTCATCGAAGGTTCCATACGACGGTTGCATGTCAGTTATATCGATGTGGTTCGATACTTCTTGTTCTTCTTCACTTTGGTAAATTAAACAGTTGTTCGATCCTGTTCATGAGTAGAACTTTTACTACCCCCCCCCCTCTCCTATTGTGTTTCCCGGCAAATATCATCATCTTATCATCTTACCTTTTTTTTCTTTCATAAATGGAATACGATAGAAAAATACGACATTGGCACCCGGGTATCTCTATTGTTTCAGACATCTCTGAAAGATTTTGCTATCATATCATAGCTAAGATAGTATTGACTAGTATTTATACTTATCTGGCGACTGTATTATATTATATTATTGATCAGTATTTATACTTTTACTAAAATCTTATATACAAAATAGTAATTCAAAGAAAATTGTTTGAAATGCAGAATAGACGTTATTGGTAATTAAACGCACATCAACAATATTTTTAGTTATGTCCATTTATATGTTAATATTTTTTTTATTTAGAAATTATACTAACGTAATAATATTTTTCTTTTTTTTTTAATATAAAAATTGTCTGAAGATAATAAAATGTTGGAAGAAATCCCTAGCAATACAGATTCGCCATCCACAAAAAAAAAAAAAAAATCTAACAAATCAGACAAAAGAGATTTTCAATACATTCCTTGTTCTAGAATTCCTCAGGTTAATGCAGGTGTGAGCAAATAAGTATTTTATTCCTTTTCTCCTAAGTGAAACACTCGTCATATTTAATTTATGGCTTATGTCTTCCTATTTCAAAACTAATTTCTATCGATGTCACGTCAATCTTAATATTTGAATTGTTTTTAATTCTTATATTTATTCTTCGGCGACATAATTTAATGAAAACTAAACAGATCTTATGAATTACTGAGTGGGTGGATGCTTTCATGTTAATATGAGGTTTGCTTCAACTAACGTTGGAACAATGAGTTATTCTATAGATTGTTAACTTAGCCCTAATTTTAGTTAAAACTTTCATTGCCTCTAATAATTATAAATGGATTCGATACAATTCCTTTTCGTGGTTTAAATTACCCGTATAATCGGTTTTTTTTTTATATGATATTGGTAAATACGGTGTAATAACGAAATCTGATCGTATCATAGAATTAAAACTTTTTGAGAAAATTTAATGTGTTAATATGAAAAAAAAATTAAAAAAAAAAAAGCTACAGTCATATGGTCTATTGAAAGATTACCTTCATGGTCTGCGTTATCATACACCTCATCGAAGGTTCCATACGACGGTTGCATGTCAGTTATATGGATGTGGTTATACTTCTTGTTCTTCTTCACTTTGGTAAATTAAACAGTTGTTCGATCCTGTAATCTCCAAAGACTATGCAACTGCTCTTCTGCTTCCACCACTAATTCCAGCTCTAGTTCGAGAATTGTAGCAAAGAATAAGAAGCTACCGACACGAATGAAACATGGTTTTAACAGCTGTACATGAGTAGAACTTTTACTACCCCCCCCCTCTCCTATTGTGTTTCCCGGCAAATATCATCATCTTATCATCTTACCTTTTTTTTCTTTCATAAATGGAATACTATAGAAAAATACG